GATGCCTGTGCTGGTGGGCCTGAACCTCCATGGCATAGCATAGAGGACAAGCCCACCTACATGGAGGCATTCTGACTTCCAATGGCCAGACTGCTAGCAGTAGGGCCATGATTTTGTTTGCGGCCAAGGGTCGGATGAAGAATCTATTGGAAGGCAGCCCTGGCTATAGCATTATATCATAGCTGCCATAGCTTAGCAACCATAGGCAGTGACATTCCATTCTGCTCTTGGAGCCAAACTTTATTCAGTTTTTTCAGGAAGTCACAGGGCAGGTCTTGGGAGCCACACTCATTGGCATGGAAGAGAACAGTACACAGTATGGGGTCAAAGATTGTTGTTAACCCCAGAGTCTCATGTGCACAAGAATGTCAGGCTGGAAGTGATTCCATGTCTCAGCCAGGCCTCTCCAGAGCTGTGACCCCATAGGGGCAGTTCTCCTTCAGCCCCGAGTCCCACAGTGCACCTGGGTCAGGAGTACTCTGAGCTACATGAGGCCCCTCTGCCAGCTCCCTCCTGGTTGGAGCCACCTTGCACTTCTCCATAGGGAGGCTGACCTCAATCCTGCCCTGTCTGGGCTCCCATGGCCCGTCCCAGTGACTGGTTATGCTGAGTCCCCATGGTGGCAGTCCATACCACACTGCAGCACAACAAGCTCCCCCACCAGCTCCCTGTGCTCCCAGCCAGAGTGCAAGGAGACAACGTGGCAGGAGCATTCTTAGTCTGTCCCAACCCAACTAAAGGGACTCTTCATCCCTTCTGCTGGCCATTTGGCCCCAATGACTGTCCATGCACAGCTTCCACCAGGAGTCACAATGTACGTACAGAAGCCCAGGCATAGAACATGCATACATGTGGCCACATTTCTCACACATTCATATAGGCAGGACATTCCAACAGGAAGGCAAATAATTTCCCCAGGGAAACAGTGTCAGATGACCACAAACAGATGTTGTGCTCTCTGCCCCACAACAGATCTGAGGCTCTCTGACCTCAATCAAACAGATATGGAGGGTCTCTTCCCCACTACAGATAAACAGATGTGGGGTTCTCTGTCCCCATTTACTGGAGTCTGCAACATTTTCCAGGCTCTTGTGATCATGGTGCTCTGGTGCATCTGCCCTTAACCACTTCTGATCACAATCACCATCTTAGGCTAGCCACAGAAATGAAACTAAACACAGAGAGGGCAGACAGGCAGACACTGGCCGGCTTTAGACTCTATGGGCGGTGGTCCCAATGGGCTTGGAGGATCTGGAATGAACCCCCAAATACTATGCTCAGATTGCAGGGACCCCCAAAAGACCATCATGGAGACCAAATTCTGTATGTAAAGGCAAAGAGCTATTGTTTTCTCCCAGTGTCTGTGGAAGAGTCTATCAATCAGCTGAGGATTTAATCTGAGGGATATCAAATGAATCTAAGCATGCTGAGTTCTCTAGTCCATTCACTTTATTCTTCTAAATCAATTCTATCTACACAGCTTCTTTTCTATTCTCACACTTAGCTCCTCTCAGTCCCTTCTACTGTTCTTTCATCAATTTACCTAGTTCTTTCTATCTCCATCCTCATCTTTGTTCTTCTAAATCAATTCCCCTGGTGTTGTGGGAGAACTGGTATACACACACAAGCAGTAATTCTTTGGCAAAGCAATGCAAGGTTTGAAGGTTTCAGGGTCGCAGAGCAACGTGATAAGGATCCACACATAGAGCAGTGATTGTCAGCTTCCAATTACAACCCCAAAGAGGGAGTAACTAAAGAGGAGTTCTCTGGTAGCGTCAACTAAAGGCTAAGACCAATTAGGGGATTCTCAAGAGAAATTTATGTGCTCAACCTTAGAAGTGGCTAGGTAAAATGTTAGGGGTTTACAAATGTCAATAAGTCACTAGTAAAATAAAATTATCTTTTATTCTTAGGTGCTGCGCTATGGGATGTCTTTGTGTATGCTGTGAACAAGTGTTGCTCTGACTGATAAATAAAACACTGATTGGCAGTAGCCAGGCAGGAAGTATGGGTGTAGTAAGCAGATGAGGGGACTTCTGGGAAGAGACAGAGGAAGCAAGATGACAAGGCAAGACTGAGAAAAGGTACCAAGCCACATGGCTAAACATAGATAAGAATTATGAGTTAATTTAAGTGTAAGAGCTAATCTGTAATAAGTCTGAGCCAATGGCCAAGCAGTTATAAATAATATTAAGCCTCTGTGTGATTATTTTATAAAAGGCTGAAGGACTGTGGATGAGAGATTTGTCCCAACCACCATCTGGGGAAAATCTGTGGGACACAGAGAAACTTCCAGGTACAGTGCTGCTTCCCCCCACCCCCACCCCCCGTCCCAGCTGCAGCTGCTTTCTGGTAGGGTGTGTGTGTGTGTTCAGTTGCTAAGCAACCTATGTCAGAGCATGTAGCATTTGGTTAGTAAAAGCACTTTTGCTCAGAGTAATTGCTAAGGAGGGAATCTAGGAACAGCACCTGGCTGAGGAGGATTAAAACTACATTTGTACAAAAAACGAAGCTTGGCCTTTATCATCTACCTGGCCTTGATGGCAATCTCCTTGGGTCAGTGGGAAGTAACTGCCTTAATTCGGTAACCAGCAGATGGATAAAACATTATCCCAGAAATATGAGCAGTAAATCTCTTAAATTAGGGTCTTTTGTAAATAACTGGGATAAAGGTAAAGAGTTGAGGATTTAATTGTTAGTGGTTATTTTCTCTATCTGTGGGTGAGATGAGCTAATGTTTATCTATCTGCATTTGTCCTAGGATAAAAAGGTATCTTTGTTGCTAGTGTTTTCCGCCTTGCCCACAGTCAGGACAAATCTTTGTCACCCGCCAGTCCCACAGCCGCTCAGACCCAACCAAGTAAACACAGAGACTTA